TGACTATAATACACATCAGTCCCAATATTTACTAATACAAACAAAGAAAAAAGTTACTTGCGTACTATCCCAAATCCCTATGAACATTTAAATAACTGGAGTGAAGTGGCCACTTAAGTGTAAGCTCACCTGCCACGGCAAGGCAAACCTCTTAGGCGACTCCTACACTAGCAATTCACCTTGCTTCTTTCAGCTTCAGGTAAGAAATCTCTAAAGAAACAGAGAGGGGTATTTTTCTAAGCCCTACATACTTGTTAACCTTATGAATTTAATGACATCAGAACTCTTGGCTAAATCTCTGGCCAAATAAGGACACACATAAAGACTCTTGACCCTCAATCCTCTCATTATAAACTAACATTCCAGTTATACCGAATATGAAAAGGAACATAGAGTATGTAATATTCCCTCTGTTTATGGTTTGCATAAAAACCATAACAACATGTTATTTATCTATCCATTCATACTTCATTCATATCACATTTGTTTCACGTTTATTATATAATTAGAGATGTGTTCATAGCCACCTGGTATATGAGATTCCTTGGAAGCATGATGTACAACGCGGCTTACAGCTCCCCTTAGTATATCTGTTTAATCTTTTGATTTACATGTATCTATATAATTCTAATCTTACATTGCATAGCTTCTTGCAATACAATATATATTATAGGTATACATATAACAGTTAGTGATGTCGCGAACGGTTCGCCGAACAGTTCGCCACGGACTCATCATTGAGTAAACTTTGACACTGTACCTCACAGTCAGCAGACACATTTCAGCCAATCAGCAGCAGACCCTCCCTCCCACCTCCTGGACAGCTCACTAAGAATGCAGCTTCACAATGAATGTAAAATGGATGCTGTCCAGGAGGTGGGAGGGTCTGGGAGGGAGGGTCTGCTGCTGATTGGCTGGAATGTGTCTGCTGACTGTGAGTTACAGGGTCAAAGTTTACTCAATGATGAGTCCGCGGTGAACCGTTCGCAGCGAACCGTTCGGGACGTCGCTAATAACAATAATACATGGATTAACTCCTTAGTGACCATGGACATATCAGGTACGTCTGACAAAAAATGGTCCTTAAAGGAATTAGAGTGCTGGAAGCGAATCTGATCACTTCCAGCAGCTCTAATGATAATGCAGCGATGCCTCGATGTTGAGGCATCGCTGCAATACCGCCCTCACTGCCGGAGCCATGTGGAGCCCGGCAGTGAGGCCATGCATCGGTAGCCATCAGTCAGGCTTCGGATGCTCTGCCTGTGCCGAGTGCCTCGAGGGGTTGAGGCACTCAGTTAAATTAAAAATATATATATAAATAAAAAATAATTAAATAAATAATCATTTTTAAAAAATTTAACCCCTACCAAGGTGAATCAACGTTTCAGTTCTCTAATGGAACTTTCGTCCATACCCTGGGTTGTCTACATTTAAAAAATGTATGCCATGATGGTGTTATTTCACATTCCTGGGCTACCACATGGTCTCAAAAGGCAACACAGACCCAGCAAACCAATCTTTTCAAAACACCATAAAACCTGTACGGGGTGTTTAAGTGTTTAAACAGTAAAACTTATCACGACGATGAAATCACCAGTAAAAGTGCAGTTTTTGTGTAAAGAAAATGCAAAAAACATATATGAACGCTAACTTTGGCCAGCGTTTGTGGCTAAGTGGCTACTACAAAAGACTGGACATACCCCATTTTGAACACTGTGGGTTGTCTACTTTTACAAATGGTATGCCATGGTAGGGTTAATTTTCATTCCTGGGCTGCTATACGGTTTTCAAAGGCAACATAGGCACAGCAAACCAATCTGTCAAATTTCAATGTACAAACATGGAAAAGGGGAGGGCCCTACGTTTGACCCCTGTAAGTTTGCAAAAACCCGTAAAACCTGTTCATTAGGGGCACTGTTGTACTCAGGAGATGTTGCTGAACACATATTGGGGTGTTTGGGGTGTTTTTTGTCAGTAACACATAACAGGAACTGAGAATCCATGCCTAAAGTACAATGTGAGAGAAAAATAACACAAAAACATGACTAACCAAAGGTTTGACAAAGACTGGCGATAGAATTAGTGCATGGAAAGTGTTAAAATATCACCATTTGAAATACCCTATGGGGTCTACTTTTCATAAATATATGGTTTGATGGGGGTAAATTACATTGGCCGGCTTCAAAAATGTCCCAAATTGGACATGGGTGCATGATGACCAGCTGGGAAAATTCCAAGTTGGAAAACTGGAACGCGCACCCGTCAAATAAGGTCTTTTAGCCCCCAGAGAACCCTATACACACCTATACATGGGGGGTATCACTGTACTCGGGAGATGTTGCTGAACACATATTGGGGTGTTCTTTGGCAGTAACCTTTAAAGTTCTCCGTACATGTATTCTTAAATTGCTATGTGTGTCAAAAAAAAATCACCAATTATATATATATTTTTTAAATTTGGCATAGATTGGTGGTAAAATGGTGGCATAAAAAAAGCACGAAAAGAGTCAATATACCCCAAGTTGAATACCTTAGGTTGTCTTTTTTTTAAAAAAAATGTATACATGTGAAGGGTTATTCAGGGATTCCTGACAGATATCAGTGTTACAATGTAACTTGCGTTAATTTTGAAAGAAAAAAATGATTTGGAAATAGCAAAGTGCTACTTGTACTTATAGCCTTATACTTTTCCAAAAAAGCTAAGAACATGTTAACATTGGGTATTTCTAAACTCAGGACAAAATTTAGAAAGTATTTAGCTTGGGTGGTTTTTTTTGACGGTTGTAGTTGCGCAACAGATTTTGGGGGTCAAAGTTAGAAAAAGTGTATTTTAAAAAAAATGTCATCATAATATTATAATTACACTTACAATATAGAAATGCAAAGCTATATTATAGCACTTTATTCATGCACATGAAAGCACTTTATTTTAACTCCAGAGGAAGTCCAGTCTAACTGGACGAAACGCGTTGAGTTAGTTTTTATTTTATTGTGTTTTGCTGGTGTTTATATTTATTCTGTCCCTGACTATCCCAGACAATTGTGTTTCTGCCATCTGGACGACGGACTAAGGATTTGACTGATGAGCTTGCTTTGCATTTCTATATTGTAAGTGTAACCATTAAAGTATACTTTTAGTTTAAAATCATATTGCACTATGGTTTTTCACTTTCTTTCCACATGACTGGCTGATATTGCCGAATACTATACTGGAGTCTGGTGGGAATGACATTTTTGTGACGAGCCTGAATTCTCAGTCATTTTGTGAGTGCAACCTTTAACCGTGAGGGCTCATTGTATATATGTTATTACCTTATGAGTAGCTTCAAATAACAAATTACCCTATGAGTGTTTTCTCCATTGTGTATTTTTAGGTATATTTTGCTTTTTTCCTACCTTGTAAGTTTGCTTTATCAGGGTCCTCACAAACCTATTGTATCTGTCAAAATTTGTAATATTTTGTCTTATATTTTTGAAATTCTTTATTTTTTGGTGTGCATAAAGGTTTACAACATTGCTTGTACAGCCACATCAGCTCTCACAAGCGCAAATTCCAAAGAGAAAAAAACAACAACAGATATGTGGTATGTAAGGAGCATGCACACATTTTTGTTATGAGCTTACTTTACATCGTGATATCAACAAGTTGAGTAAAATATTAACAATAACAATAGGTGGACATATGCTTTAACAGTGGTGTTTTAGCAGATTTGTGCTATGAGGGATAGTACTATAGTAGTGCGATTAAGCTGTAAGTCTTTCGCACCCTGTAATGAGAAGGGACTACGTCAGCCTTTCGTTTTGGCTCAGTTTAAGTGGGAGCGTGTGGTTTGTGCCTTAGAGTGAACGCTAGACAGGTTACGTCTTGGTAAGGTAGTCAGGTCTTAAATATTGTAGCAATAATAAAGAAATAAGAAACACAAGAGAAATTTTAAGAAACAAAGAGTATGGTTTGATCTGGTAGCGTGACATTAATTTTGTCGTGCCGATTCATACAGATAAGGAATATACGGCCCAGTGGCGTGTTCCATGTATAGCAGAGGTTAGACTGTGGCTTAAAGGCATTTATGTCTGTACATTTTTCAGAGAACAGAGATAGCTAAATGCTTCTGTTGTCAGAATAGAAGTGTGTATCGCCTATTTCGTTAGTGTGGCTTACGCTGCCGTATGAGTAGTGCAGTATTAATGGCAACCATGTTGTTGTGGCTAGTTTGCTCTAAATGTTTGAGTGACTCATGTCGTGTGAGATGACCCATGTTCGGCTAGGCCATTGTACTGTCAGGATAGGGTTAAATTTCAAGTTAGTCCTGCCATAAGTATATGAATGGGTGAGTGTAAGAATGCGTCCCGTGTTTAAGTGATATGGAAAGGTCAAGGCTCTGTAAAATGCGTCGGGCCTGGTTGAGCTCGTGTTCCTATTTTGCGGTCAGTTTGGTCCCTGCTCTGTAACATTCTAAGTAAATGCGCATTTACAGTGATAAGATCATTTTGTGGTCTTAACGCTATTATAAACAAATAACGATCATGGACATTGGTCCCTCCCAGGGGTCCTTACGGGCTGTCCTGCATGGAGGACTGAGAGTCTCTGGGTGTGGGGTGGCAACTGTCACAAGACGGTCGAGTGCCCTGGGGCTGCTTAGGGCGTTATCGTGTGGCTCTGCGAAGTCCCTCCTGAGTTCCTCTCTCTGAGTAGGCGAAAGTCGTGGTTTTTCGTGGTCTCTCAAGCGACCAGCAGTGTGATGCCGTCAGGTACAAAATAAAGTCCATGGAAAGAAAAACAAAAAGAACTGGGTATGAAGGAAACTAAAGTCTGATGATAGGCAGGAGCGGCCGTGGGTCGCTGTCTCTGCGCCCCTTTAGGGCGGTATAGTGCCGCTTGGTGCCCCATTCCTCTCTGCAGGGTTGCCTGGCTGCCCCTTCAGCGGGACAAATGGCTTGGTCCTTGCGGGGTCCCAGTTGTGCTTCTTGCTTCTGGCTTCCACTGGGCCTGTCGGCATAAGGGAGTTCTCTGGCAGGCCAAGTGTGGTCAGCAGCCGTTTAGCCTCCGGTAGGTCTTGGACTGTGTGGATCATATTGTCCTTTAGGACCTGTAGGGCTCTTGGCGTGCGCCATCGATAGGTGATATCATTTTGTCTCAGGAGTGTCGTGACTGGTTGAAGGGATCTGCGCCACTGCATGGTATCTCCAGACAAGTCTGAAAAGAAGGTAAGGTTGGCATTTTCGAAGTTGAGCGGGGTCTTCCCCTGCAGGGCCTTAAGCATGGCCGCTTTGTCTGCTCCAGATCGGACTCTCACCACCAGGTCCCCGGAGGCCGTGGCTGGGGCCGTCCTTGGTTTGGGGATTCTAACTATCGCCTCAAAGCTCAAGGCTTTCGCTTGTTGCGGCTTCAGTAGTGTTCCCGCGAGTCTCCTCTCCCAGGTGTGGGAGTTCTTCTGGCAAGACTTCGTCTGGGACGCCTCGGATCTTGAGGTTATTGCGGCGTCTTTGATCCTCAAGGGCCGCAAATCGGTGGTCCGTAGTTGCTTGGTGCTTTTTGAGCGTTTGTAGCTCTTTACGTAGGTCCGCAATTTCTTGGGCCTGCTTGTCTGTGTGGGCCTCTATGGCTCCCATGCGCCCGATCAGGCCTGTCACCTCCGCCTGGAGCTGTGCAACATCTGCCTGGATCACCCGCTTTAGGTCACCCAGCATTGTTCTCAGCGTGTTTGTTGTGATCAGTTCAGGTTGCTTTGTGGGTGCATCAGTGGGGCGAACAGGCCGCTGGTGTACTCATCTAGGCTCAGTTCGTCCGAGGAGTCTGAGTACCCCGCCATGTCGGCGGCCATTTTGGCCCCTCGTGCGTCTTGTGCCTGGCGGAATAGGTCCCCGATATCGGGTCCCAGTTTAGGCTTGTCCGGCCTCTGCTTCTTCGCTTTTCATCCCATGGTTCTGATGGGCCTGTGGGATCGATTTTGGTTTCGTTATTTTTGCTAAATTCGCGTTTTTGTCAGCTATGGATGAGGAGCTCGTTGATCGTGCGTCTGTTCCTGTTGGCTGCTAGGCTCCGCCCCCTATTTTGTCTTATATATTGTTAAGGTCCCCTTCATAATATTGTAAAGCACTGCAGAAGGTGTTGGCGCTATATAATAATCATAATGTATCTGCTAATATAAAAATTAAGAAACAAACAATAATATCCAAATAGTGCATGTCTCCTTTTAATTTTGTGCTTCATTTTTAAATAACTGTGTAATATGCATTATTTTATGATTATATTTCTTTGTTATTTTGAAAAATATCAGTAAAAGAAAAAAATTATAGTACTGCATCCTTTTTAGTTTTGCCGTCACCATCTTTATAATGGTCATATAATGTTGTAAAAAGGAAACATTTTGGAACAATCTTACAAAGAAGAAAAAGAAAACTAACTGTAATTATGTACAAATGAGTGAGCAATTTTAAACCATTTGTGGTACCCATTTTACCAGCAAGAGATAGAATACGTGAATTTCTAATTTCTGGATAAGAGAAAATAGGGTTTATTTTGAATATGGAAGATGTCCTGTTCCCATCCAAATAAGAAAAACGCAAAGCTTAATAGCATTTTTCAAATTATGAGAGCCATTTTGAAAAAAAGTATACCCATTGTGCCAATACACATATTATTGTTATTGTGTTTCACTGCACTGCTCAGAATGAGAAGAAAACCATCATAAGGTCATTCAGAAGAAGTTTAGAACATCTCAACTGCAGGTTAACGACAAGGAAAAAATACAATATACTAAGACACTGTAATAACTGTCCATTTTAGGACTTCAAATTAGTCATCTGCAAAAATGTGATTCATTTTGAGATGAACTGGAAAAGGGAGCATAACTAGGACAATAAAAGAAAAATAAACTTTATCCCTATAGTGAAATTTAAAGATGATCTAAATAAAAATTATGATATTATGACATTTGGGGAGGGGGTGGGGGAGGTTAATTCAAATTGACCCCATTATCAGTATATATCGGACTTTGAATAGCCATGCATTATTACAGATTGTCAAGAATAGGGGCAACTGACTAGAAAGGGGAGCTGTAAGGACACAAAGAAGCCCAAAGAGGTCCAAAAACTTAAAGGAGTTCATGAAGGCTGAGAAGGGAACATGTTTAGTTTTTTCAAGAGCAATGGAAAATGCAGTATGTAAAAAAGCTAAGGAAATACAGTATGTGACACCTGAAAAAGACTTGACACTACGTGTGGAGAAAAAATAATGTTGCAGATTAAGAGCACAATGGAAGTTTCAACAATTAATCAGGAATAAAAAATGAGCTAGTACTGGGCTAACAGGTAGCAGGAAAAGTGATGTAATAAATGGGCAAAAGGTTGAAAAGGAACTAGTTACTAAAATACAGGGAGATGGGTAAAAAGGGTGTGGGTTAACTAGATGGAAAAATAATTAATGAAGGCTGCCATAACCAACTGGGAGAGGTAGGACTGAAAGGGATAGCTTTTGCTTTAGTTTAACAGTGCATATCGCATAAAACATTGGAATATTTATATTGAAAATAAATGTGATTATCTTCACACACACCCAATTAGTCACATATACACACATATACTCATGCATACTACATGTATGTATGTACTTGATACAGTCATGTAAATATTAATTCCTAGTAAGACATTTGTCTATATGGGCCTATAATTAGACACACATAAGTATATAAAACTAACACAAAATCACTATAAAGTGAAAAGTACTTATCTTCAATAAGATGCAGCTTCCCCGGCGGTGTTCCCCAGCTCACCACCTCTCTTATACAGCACATTACAAAAACAATATTTGGGAACATCTAAAAAAGCAATAAATAATCCAAACATAGTGAAATATAGTATGATACAACAAGAAATGCACTTCTTAGATTGCACTCACAGTGTGTATGAGAAACTGCACCTCGGGGTGCCTCCCCTGGTACCTGCTGCGGGTAGGATCCAAGATAAATCAGAAGACCAGGATATCTTTCTCCATGCTTCAAAATGATTTATTTGGCACAAATTGATTTAAAAACAATAAAGACATTTTAAAAATTGTTGCCCATTGTGTTTCTGCCACTTATGTGGACTTCTTCAGGGACAACAATAAAATAAAAATTACAAACAAAACACCCATCAAGTGTCAAGCTGCCTAATAAACCCTTCCCCCAAGTCCTTTAAATAGAGCTAACCCCTTTCAGTCATTGGTGATTCAGTGGGCGTGAGCCCTTAACTTGCTCCTGATAGGGTGATATTCCTCCAATTTAGATGTTTCTTGGGTTCCCACCTCACTCCCAACTGATTCCTCTTTACATTTGCCGAGTATGATATTCCGTAACGCCGTCCTGCGTACCGGCGCCATTTTGTTTGCTTTCACCACACTGATACACATAAGTGTGTGTATAATTAGACAAAATAAGCCACTCTTAAATAATTAGAAACTCTTTCCCTCTTCTTACCTAGAAATCAGATTTCAGCAAATCTGTCCCTTTTTAGTTGTCAATTGCCAATAGCCCCACTGTCCACATAGCTTTGACAAAAGTATCTTGGCGATGTGTAATTATGTGGGCAAGTAGGTATCCTGTGAAGAAAAATATTAAGTATATAAAATTATATATTTTTATTACTTATGTGAGAGCAAGGGTGAAATCCTACTGAAAAAAAATAAAACATTTAACAGGGTGTTCATAATTTGAAAGATATTCGACAAAAAAAAAAGATTTCTCTTAAAGATAAAAATGTAAAACCTTATTTCTATGGACTACAAAATGTATCCATGGATTTTTAGAAGATATTTAAGTTGCTGACATTTTCATGAACTTTTTAGAACAATTTTTAGATGGCAATTTCATATAAAACGATTTGTTCTTTTAGATTATTGTACAGTACAGTGGAACATGCTGGTGCCTTATAAATAGATATAATAATAACTGAAGGATATTAATCATAATTCCCATATATGTAAGAGAGGACAAATCACTTTAATTTTAAAGAACCCAAAGAACCAGGACATTAAGTTCTCACTTGCCCAAATAGTTCTTATAAAGAGGACTTCTTATTGCTATTAATTATCCAATTAATTATCTTATTGCTATTAATTATCCAACTGAGCTTGTAATCTGTTTTTTTGTTTTGTTTTTATAAATACATTTTGGATTCTATTATAAATACTTCAGCACACCTTCTTATCTGCCTGCACCTGGTGTGGCCCTCTGCAACTTATACTATTAAGTGGTCAATACCTTCGGCAGAAGTTACCCTCGATTAAAAGTGCTCATTCTAGATCAGTGATACTGCTCAGAGACCAAGGAAGGATTAAGAATCCAAAGGGCCCTCGGCAGGTTACCATTTAGGAGTCACCTGTTCATTCTTCAAATAGGGAAGGTGAGTGGAGCCAAGCAAATTTATGGGTCTAGGGCCCCTGTCTAACCTATAGGCCCAGGTCACCAACTAAGGATGCCAAATGTCTAATCCTACTATGTCAGTATATTGATCAGTTTGTTCACGGTATAATTTTTATATAGTAAGCAGTAGATATTGTTTTCTATTTTTTTTTATTTTTTTTTTATTCATCCTAACAGTACAAATGGCTGAAAACATGTACAGATATGTTTGCAATCAATTTCTTATCACTTCTCACATTTTTGCTTTCATCGGTTACATAGTTATCTTAGTTATCTCATACACGTGAGGTCACTTTTTCTATTTTCTATTCTATGTTATTCATGTTCATGCTGCGTCTTTATAAAATAAAGTCAGCAAGCTGAAACATATAGGAAAAATAAAGAGCCACTTTTCACTTTGTTTATTTGCCGTCGAGCTTTGAGAGTGAAGACCGAAGGGTTTGGGAACTATTCATTGTATAAATCAGCATAATATTCAACATGCTTTGAATATTAAAAAGTACTGACAAGTTTAATTATTTCAGTGCAAGTTTACAACATTGGAATCGTGTTTAAAACAGGTGCAAATATCTTTCCCTTCTTCCCCTCCCCCTCCTTTTTCCAATTTTTTATTTCCTCTCTCTCTTTCTTCATACTTTTTTCTTGTGGCCTCTTCTTTTCAAGCAGTCCTCGGCGCTTGGTTACATATTTTCACTTATCATGGATTATCATTGGGAACTATGTTGTAGATTTCTCGATTCCATGATACGATTATTTTGATCTCCATTTTATTTCTTTCTTGATATTTAATATTGGAATCTTACCTTGCTATGTATTTTCATACTAAAAAATACTTTTTACTATATGTTTTTCAATTACATGTGTACTTGTTGAATGATAATTGTAGCAGGTATCACGTCTATGTGTGACTAAAAAGTTATTGACAGCAGATATATAAGGAATTAATTATTATATTTATTCATAAATCACCAAATTATTCTTCTCTGCAAAATCTTGTTTTGTCCAGTGAGGCAACTAACCTAAGCACATTAACATTAGAATTGCTAATACCAATAAAAAAAATAAAAAAAAAATATATATATATATATATATATATATATGGGGTATGCATGTAAATCAGATCAAGGAAAGAAAACAATATATACAACATTTTCTTTGAACCACATTATATAAGCACAAAACTCCTCAGAGCAATTAAAAACATCAAGCTGACATTATATACATGAACGATAGCCAAAGTTACATGCATCCTCCTGGGCAAAATACCTTGATAACAAATGTCATATACACTGATAAAAGCTGGGAATAGATAGGCTATATGCCTGCCATGCTAATCTAAAAAAGTTGATTGTGACATAGATTAATTAATTATATATATACATATTTTCATTTTAATTCTAAACTTTCTTTACTTGCAGTACCACTTATGGCCACTGGAGACATCAAGCATAAGTTCGATATGCAAACACTTTAAACACTAGCAGTTTATAGTGGGCACTAGCATGTTCAAATATAGTGGCATCATCTGTATACATTAATAAATAGTATTGCTGCCATGTTCCCTAGTCTTTTTTTTTTTTTTTTTTTTTTTTTTTTTTTGCACATGATAGGCAATGCAAGAATAACATAACTTGGAGGCTTGCGCAGAAGCCAAAATATAAAAGAGCATACTTATAAACATAAAAATTAACATCGGCCCCTATGACAAGCCACTTTATAGATTCCATACAATTTGCCCCCCATCGAGGATTTTATGTTTTTATATGGCTACATCACATAAATTCCCAATTTTACGTACGATAGGCATAGCAAGAGCAATACAACTGTGAGGCTCGCACAGGAGCCTAAATGCTAGAAATCAGACTTGAAAACACGAAATATGACATTAGCCCAAAAGACAAGCCTCTTAATGAATGCTATTCCTCTCGCCTGCCATCGATGATATTGTGTCTTTTAGTCAGGCCCTGCATCCTGAGAAGGAGCCCTAACTCCATCCATGTCAGGGTGTACTTTAGGCATCCTCAATTCTCCGTCAGTATACTCATGCCTGAGTGAGGAAAATAAATAATGCCACCATAGACTGAGACAATGTTAGAAATAAAGAGGTAAAAAGAAAAAGATGCCCTTGTAAACCAAGGGTTTAGTAACAAGATGGAGAAAACGTGAAAAAGAAAGATAGAGAAAGAAAAGAAAAGATAAGGCAAGGAAGAGTCCCTAGTCTTTTTTATTAATTTGCCTCTACTAGAGAATCTTGCCTTTATTACCCCATGTTTTATTGCCCCATGTTTGAAAAAAGGTAGCTAGACACAACACTAAATGCATTATTCTCTTCTCGGTAGTTGCTATGTACAAAGTGACTAAATAATTTTATAAAGTCAGTGATAAAAGTATGTGATAATAATGGCATTTACCCTCTTTTAAATGTCTGTGCTAATACTCCGTGCTGGAAATGTTTTGTTGTGTTCAAATTTTGGATAGAAACACATTGTTCAGAGTCAGAGTGCCAGGAGATTTTTTGGCAGAGGTAGTATTACTACCTAGAACAAGCTAAATTTGCCATCCATTGATTTCTACAGAGTAAACACAATTGTGATTATGTTAGAAACGTAGGGCTGTGCTGGGCTGGCTGGAATGATCTAGCAATCTGTCTAGTTACAATTCCCTGTTAAACAGCTGTGATAGTGGACAGAGAGTTATTTAAGCATGAATCTAACCATGTGAAATTCTGTTTTGTTTCATTGTTTTTTTCAGAATCCGCCACTTTGGATAACAGCCGGAGATGAAGTACGATACAGAGAAAAGCACTTCAAAGCAATGAAGATACTCCCAAATTATTGTCTGTTCTTCTGTAGCGTTTCTGAGTGCTGTGAGTGTAGGGGAAATGGTTCCTGAGATAGAGACCTGGACAATCATTATATGAGCATTGTTTTCATCAATTGCAAGCACAGCTACTTCACAAAAGCCTTGTTGACCTACACAATGACTGGCCAACTAACTGAAGATACATCAGAATCTTCCAACTTGAATCCTGATGAACTTGAATGCAAAATATGTTACAACCGTTACAATCTAAGGCAGAGAAAACCAAAAGTCCTGGGGTGCTGTCACAGAGTGTGTGCCAAATGCCTTTACAAACTTGTTGACTGCGTGGAGTCCCCGCAGTGCGTTATTGTATGTCCATTCTGCAGATTTGAGACACGTCTGCCAGAGGATGAGGTCAACAGCCTGCCTGATGACAATAATATCTTACTGAATTTGGCATGTGGTGGAAGAGGGAAGTGTTCTTCTGACAATCCTACAGAACTGTTGCTAACCCCAAAACGTCTCTCTACGCTTGTAACACCATCCCACAGTTCCACCAACTGCCTTGTTATTACTATCATGGAGGTGCAGAGAGAAAGCTCCCCTACACTCAATGCTACTCCCGTGGTAGAATTCTACAGGCCTTCCACATATGACCCTGTTTCAATGCCTCAAAACTGGACCGTGTGGAATTGCACATCCTTGATCTGCCAAACCTCTGTGCGTGTGTTTGTTTGGTTGCTAGGCTTACTTTATTTCAGTTCATTACCCTTAGGGATCTATTTGCTCGTATCAAAAAAGGTAACTCTAGGGGTTGTCTTTGTTAGCCTTGTTCCTTCAAGCCTGGTTATTCTCATGGTATACGGCTTCTGTCAGTGCGTATGCCATGAATTTCTAGACTGTATGTCCACGTCATAGCTGATACAGAACAAGTAACTCTCTTAACAATGCAGATTTTGTTTTTCCCAGCTATAACGATAGATTCATTTAATTGCACTTTTAATTAATATTTTGTATTTGAATCAATGCAGATTTATAGGTCGCAAGTTTCTCTGCTGACATTGGTTTTAGCTGTACTGCTGTTCTTTTACTAGAGTTAGTTTGATTACGTCTTATAGTTGTTTTGTATCTAGACCAAGTTTTACTGATACAAAATTAGTTTATAGACAAACTTGTGTGTCCAAAAATAATGTAGTAATTTCTCTAAGCAATGTCAAGTTAATGTTAGTGAATAGAATTAGGGACAGTAATATACTTCCCTGATTTAACTAAAGTGAGATTATTTGCTCTGATTATATGGAGCCGAATGAATCTTGGCCAGAGATGGCTAAGTTTGACACTGCCAGTATTTGTGTACTGTATCTCTCGTGATGCTCAGCCAAACTAAGAGCTAGAAGAGAATCATGGGAAATGTAGTTCACACATGTCTGCACTGGCAGACTTAGTCATTTCTGCCTTAGACTCTGTGAATTCGTATCATGCTGTAAATGCTGATGATTGTAATAACTCTGTAGCAATGCTGGTGCTGTCAGAAGAATGTAATTCTTAAATAATATTTTATTTCACTGTATTTACTTGCTTCATTTTTAAAGGCAGAATTTTTTTTTTTTAGTCGATGATGTTTTACATACTTGTGTATCTATTATTTAATTACATTACGGAAACTTTCATATATACAGGGTGTATTCTTTTTTTTATCATATTGGGTAAAGAAAATAAATCTGTAGCCCCTATCATTTGCAGTTATATGCAGAATGATATTATATTCAATATGTAACATTGATAATGGAGCCATCTAACACATCTAGTATTTAATGAGTTTGCAGAATGTTTATTAATCAGACAATTAATTTAGTTTGGCAGCCCTTGTGTTCTTAGCAATATAAGTGTTGCTATTTCCTTTAAATGGAAAATTAGACGGTCAATGCTACATGGCTGCTTAGGAAAATGGTATACATTATTAGGGTATTCCAAAGGCAGGTAGCTAACAATGATCCTCCAGATGGTTTCTAACTACAGTTCCCTTGATGCAGAGCCAACAGAGCATCTTGGGAAATTTAGTTCAAAACCCTTGTCAAAGTTAGCCAACATGCATTATGTGTTTTAAAATCATCCCTTTGTTTCTGGGTAATGTCTGTATTTGAAATATCTCTGAATACTGTTTTAGATACTCTGATTTTACCCCTTTGCTCCACCCTTGTATTTTGCAAACAATTGCATAAAATGTGTGATTTTAAAGAAACAGTAATTCATGCTAACTTGTTTACATCACTGATAAAGAACAGCCAAACTGAGAATGTGGATTAACATACTGCAAGTAATTACAGTGACATTTGCAGAGAGTTGGCATCAATTAGATCTCATTATATCTTTAATATATTTGCAAAATGCATCTACTTAAATAAGACACAAAAAGTTTAGATATCTTATTTTACATATCTCAGACCTATCCCATTGTCTCTTTATATATATATATTAATGCAGCACTTAAAAGGGTTAATGGAATCCATGCAGTGGCCTTTTGATAAAATACCATTTATGAAATTAACAATATCTCTTTAAATATGTTCTTCTAACTGTGTTAAATCATTTTTTACCATGCCTCCATTAAATATATAGCGTTTAATATTGTTTGTGCTCACATTTCCGTACCTATGTACTAGAATGGTACTGTAGCATAACTTAACTGATGTTAATAGAAAAATGTATTTTTATGGCCTTATTAAGGGTGCTGCCGAACCTTGTTGTCTCACTTTAAAGCATATTTATGACTACATATAGCATTGTGAAAATCTTTAAAGGAACACTCCAAACACCTTAACAAAAGTTTTTTTTTTACTAATTACAATAGTGGTTATGGTGCTTGGAGTGTTTGTTTAATAATGCATTTCAGGCCCCACCCTGAAATAATTCTTATATTGTGTAAAATGTTGCCTCATGGTTACCAGGGATGATTGATTGAACTAGTCATATGACAAAAAGAAAATAGTATAGATAAATTTAGTGTCTTTGTTACCTTAACAGTATGGTATAAATATGTATTTTTCTGTGTTTAAAACCATTGGTAAAATAATGTAATAATAAAACTGCTTAATTTTCTCTGATTAACATGTGAGATTTTAGGTTTTCTCTGGGTAAAATCTATATTGTGAGCAAGTGGGTCTGAGTTCTACAAAGTATTTGTCTAAAAAAAGTAGCACAACTGTACAAAGCCAATGGGAGAGTTGATCTGTGCACTACCTATCTCTCTTTGGCTGAATATATGTTCTAATATAAAACCCCTATAATTTATATATTGATAAGTCATAGAGCATTTGTTGTATTTAAAGGGACACTCCGGACACCTAAAGCACTTTAGCTAGTTGAAATGCTTTACATGTGAAGAATGAGTCCTCTTTTTTTTCACTTTACAAAAATTGCAGATTTCATTAGAAAGTGTCATGTTTAAAAATATACCTTGTTACACCTCCTTAGCTGTCAAACACACAACTGGTCCTGTTACTCACATAAAAAAAGTCTGGGCTGGGGAAGAAGGGGGAAGATTGCAAAGGCAGTAGACTAAAGCTGTTAAATGTACCCCCAATGAAAAAATGCATAATGAAATGCATGCATGTGTCCATTTTGGGTATATGTACTATCTGGGCAGTGGAGTGTCCCTTTAAATAGGTATTGTCACAAATTAAATCATTCACCACAGTTTGCTGACCCATAGTTTCCAAAACAGTTCAAATTGGACATGGAAACAAATATAATAACGTTAAAGGAGCACTATAGGGTCAGGAACACAAACATGTTTTCCTGACCCTTTAGGGTTAAAACCACCATCTAGCCCCTCTGGTCCCCTCATGCCTCCCTAAATATAGTAAAATCTTACTTGTATTCAAGTCTGCAGCTGCTTATTTTGTCCCTTTTTACTTTAGACCTGCCTGCTGACATCATCAGAAGTGGTAGCCTAATCCAATCACAATGCTTCCCCATAGGATTGGCTGAGATGGACAAAGAGGCAGATCAGGGGCAGAGCCAGCACAATTCAAACACGGCCCTGGCCAATCAGCATCTCCTCATAGAGATGAATTGAATCAATTAATCTCTATGAGGAAAGTTCATTGTCTGCATTCAGAGGGATGAGACACTGAATGTTTGGATCCATTTTAGGCAGCCATGACCCAGGAAGGATCTCTAACAGCCATCTAAGGAGTGGCTAGTGAAGTTATCACTAGGCTGTAATGTAAACACTGCATTTTCTGAAACAAGCAGTGTTTACAGCAAAAAGCCTGAAGGTTCAAATTCAATAAGCTGTAGTTGTTCTGGTGACTATAATGTCCCGATTTGCAACATATTAAAATATATACACACACATATATATATATATATATATATATATATATATATATATATATAATGTAATCCTGCCCCAGCTTGGTAAAACCATGTCATGAATTATAAAAATCAGAAAATACTAAATATTTATATTCAGGCTGTAGCCAATCTCAGGTTTGATTTATATTATTTACTGATTTCCTGCAGTAAAGTATATTTTTATCACTATTATTTACTGTGACAATGAAATGCTGTTTTGTTTTAAAGTGACAATTGGAATTTATGTGTCACTCTTAAATCAAGGAGTAAGAGGCCTGGACAATGTGGTTCGGTACTTATCCATCTGGTTTTTAATGCGTTCAAATTTTCAAGATCAAGAGGAATATACTGTTGTTTACAGTCTTTTCTGCTTTCTTTGTCTATGTTGTGCTTTGTAGAACATAATGTATAAATATGGCTAATTGTTTAAATTGACACATTCACTATGTACATAAAGTATCTATTTCTCATTTAGTGTGCTTTTATGAGTGTTTATTTTTAATTGCCATTTGAACTTAAATGACTTGGAGGAATTGAGAAGTTATGATATATCAGAATGTCAATAGTTAAAGGATTATTCCAAGCACCATGACCACTTCAGTGTTTTGAAATGCTACACATACAGAGCTATCTAAAAATAGTGCCAGAGCGGTTTCCATATTTTATGTCATTCATTGGCTGAAAATACCCAGCTCACACTCTCCGCTAATGAAAGAGCGCTTTATCGGCATCCAGCTTCTGCAGTTCTGTCATGCGTGTCATCAGTTTCAGAGCATACTGGCAGAGACTCAGGTCATGGCTGCCATGAGAAATTCAAGGTCTGGGTCCCTGAGTGCGCACAGAGGGCCCTTTCTTAGTCCGCCCACAGGATACAGTGTGTGTGGAGTGAATACAATGTGCGTAGTGGATGCAATGTGTGCGTGCAGAAAATGCAGTGTGTGTGAAGTGGATGTGGTGTGTGTAGTGGATGCAGTATGAGTGTGCAGTGGATGCAGTTTGTGTAGGAGATGCGATATGTGTGTAGTGGATGCAGAGTGTGTGTTTGTGTAGTGGATGTAGTGTATAGAGAATGCAGTGTGTTTGGTGAAAATAGAGTGTGTGTTTGTGTGGTGGATGCAGTGTGTGGAAAAAAGTAGTTTTTTTACATGTTTTTTAACACATTTTATTTTTTTCCTCCCTCCATACCCCTGTGGTGAGGGAGGGGGACATTACAATTCCCGGTGGTCTGGTGGCATTGTGCAGGCTGTAAGGTGCTGTATAGTGATGTCCCGAACGGTTCGCTATGAACATAGCTTGGGGGCCCTAAAATGAACAATAAGGGGGGGACCTATTGTCCCCCCCGCCCCCACCCCTGCGCGGTGGGTGGGGGCCATATTGATAATGAGGGGGGGACCTAATGCCCCCCCCGGCCCCCACCCCTGCAGGCGGGTGGAGGCCATATTGATAATGAGGGGGGGGACCTACTGCCCACCCTGGCCCCCACCCCTGCGCGGCGGGTGGGGGCCATATTGATAATGAGGAGGGGGACCTACTGCCCCCCCCAGCCCCCACCCCTGCGCGGCGGGTGGGGGCCAAATTGATAATGAGGGGGGGACCTACTGCCCCCCCCGGCCCCCACCCCTGGGCGGCGGGTGGGGGCCATAAAGATAATGGGGGGGACCTACTGTCCTCCCCCCCCGGCCCCCACCCCTGGGCGGCGGGTGGGGGCCACAAAGATAATGAGGGGGGGGACCTACTGTCCTCCCCCCCCGGTCCCCAAGCCCCTAGTCACCCCCCCCCAAATAAAAAGTCCCTACCTACCCCCCTCACACTAAAAAACAGTGAGGGGGGAATAAAATAACTAACCTGTAAAATAAAAGTAAACTTACCATTCAACGTCTTCTTTTTTCTCAAATCTTCTTTTTTCAGCCCCAAAAAAAGGCCAAATAAAAAACCATCATAACCGTCGAATTGAAAATAAAATAAAAATCCCGAGCGCAAAAAAAAAAAACAGCCGAAAAATAAAAAACCTGAGCGCAAAAAAAAAATCCATCTTCACCCATGGAGGGCTCCGCGCAGACTGAGCTCTGCAGGGCGGGGGAAGGCTTATAAAGCCTTGCCACGCCCTGCAATTAGGCTAAGAACACTCTGATTGGTGGGTTTAAGCCAATCAGAGTGCTCTTTGTCATTTTACACAGCGTGGGAAAATTCAAAAGAACTTTCCCACGCTGTGTAAAATGACACAGAGCACTGTGATTGGATGGCTTTCAAGCCATCCAATCACAGTGCTCTGTGTCATTTTACACAGCGTGGGAAAGTTCTTTGCATGATGGGCTGCGCGAGCTCCGTACAGCCGTATTTTTCCGAGCAGTCCGGACCCACCAGAAATGCCGGGCCTGTGACAACCATCACAGTTGTCATGCCCTGATGACGGTCTGACTCAGGAAAGAGGAGATACAGTTTGCTCCTTTACCAGGGAACAGCACCAGAGTATGCCTAGCTTCATAACCATTATAACAGGCTAAGTTGGTTATGATGCTTGGTTAACCTGTTAAGAGAGTCATTTATTGAATATTTTCCTTTTTCAATTACAGAGTATTTATTGCTTCTCCAGAAAAGCTTTATTGAAATAGACAAAACCAAAAAACAATTAGAACGAGCATTAACCACTGCCGAGTTTTGCAATGTTATTGTGTTACGCAATTAAAGTTAAAACAAAGTTTTAAAAAAAAATCCCAAAAGTTATCTAGTGGATTATCCTCAGTTATCTAAAAACTATCTCAAAAGTGCCACTTCTGGGGAGGTGGGAGTAAGAAGGTAATTGAGATCCCTAGAAAGAGCAAATATCTGTTCCCAGAGCAGATTGATGACAGGACATACCACCACATTTGAGACAGGGTACCAATCTTCTAAACAAGGCTAACTTTTTTTTAAATGTATGTTTTTGGTCACAATCTGCAGACAGGTTGTGCCACTATAATCAATAATACATATATTGTATACAAAGTATCTGAATTTGCATTATGCATGTCAATCTATGAATTTAAGTTTTAGTTATATTATGAGTGAACTTGAATGGTACAATATAAGATTCACAGTATAACTGCAGCATATGAGTCTTGTATGCACTGTCTTGGAGTGAAATAGCAACATACACTGGATCCCATTAGTGGGATACAGAACTGACTGCTTGGGGGCCCTTTATGGCTAAAAGAGTCCTGAGGAAGTACCACTGTTGCTAATAGAGCTATTGCTTCTTGAAGATCTCTAACTGAATGCTTAGTGTCATCCTTGAGGCTTATCAATAAACTGCAATCTTTAAGTTTGGATTCAAATATTGTTGAATGGGTAAGGCAGTGGCTGAGTGATAGGCAACAGAGGGTTGTAGTTAATGGAATATATTCGAAGCTTGGATTTGTCACCAGTGGGGTACCTCAGGGATCTGTACTTGGACCCATTCTCTTTAATATTTTTATTAGTGATATTGCAGAAGGTCTTGATGGTAAGGTATGTCTTTTTGCTGATGATACTAAGATATGTAACAGGGTTGATGTTCCAGGAGGGATAAGCCAAATGGCAAATGATTTAGGTAAACTAGAAAAATGGTCAGAATTGTGGCAACTGACATTTAATGTGGATAAGTGCAAGATAATGCATCTTGGACGTAAAAACCCAAGGGCAGAGTACAGAATATTTGATAGAGTCCTAACCTCAACATATGAGGAAAGGGATTTAGGGGTGATTATTTCTGATGACTTAAAGGTAGGCAGACAATGTAATAGAGCAGCAGGAAATGCTAGCAGAATGCTTGGTTGTATAGGGAGAGGTATTAGCAGTAGAAAGAGGGAAGTGCTCATGCCATTGTACAGAACACTGGTGAGACCTCACTTGGAGTATTGTACACAGTACTGGAGACCATATCTTCAGAAGGATATTGATACCTTAGAGAGGGTTCAGAGAAGGGCTACTAAACTGGTTCATGGATTGCGGGATAAAACATACCAGGAAAGGTTAAAGGATCTTAACATGTATAGCTTGGAGGAAAGACGAGACGGGGGATATGATAGAAACATTTAAATATATAAAGGGAATCAACACAGTAAAGGAGGAGACTATATTTAAAAGAAGAAAAACTACCACAACAAGAGGACATAGTCTTAAATTAGAGGGACAAAGGCTTAAAAATAATATCAGGAAGTATTACTTTACTGAGAGGGTAGTGGATGCATGGAATAGCCTTCCAGCTGAAGTGGTAGATGTTAACACAGTAAAGGAGTTTAAGCATGCGTGGGATAGGCATAAGGCTATCCTAACTATAAGATAAGACTAGGGACTAATTAAAGTATTTCGAAAATTGGGCAGACTAGATGGGCCGAATGGTTCTTATCTGCCGTCACATTCTATGTTTCTATGTTTCTATCCTTAACAAGCAAAAGTGTGAGACATTCGCCAGCAATTTTGGATATTGTGTTGTCTGAGAACATGTGAATGGTCTGTCATGTGAATAGTAGAGGCGACTTTTTCTACGCTAGAATAACTCCAGAGAGGTCTGCATAAAAGGTAAGTGACATAGATCCAAAGTTATAGAAGGTAAGTGACATAGATTCAAAGTTATAGGGCAATTGCTCTTTGATGGCCTCTAACACTGCGGCTTTATCTCTGCCGTTCTGGAAATGAACCACATAGTCCAGTGGCACTATGGCCCGAGCCATGGACCCTATTAGGGAGTTGAAAGAATTCACCCAGCCACACAGCTTTAGCCTGACTTGGAACTATTAGGGCGACTAGGGGGCATCATAATAGATGTGGCAGCTCTGCCTCTGGAATACCCTCCGATATGCCCCGTATCATGAAGTTTTTTCTTCTCCTTATATCCTCCAGGGCTGCAAAGCATCTCTCATAAGTTTTGTCTTCCTGCTGTAGCCCCTGTACCATCTGTTGAAGTGAGGTGAGTTGGTATGTACAGTCATGGGAAGTATTTTTCTAAATCTCTAGTCATCCTATCAAGCAAATCTACGCAAAGTGTTGCCACATCTATTAAAAAAATCATTCTGGAGGTCTGCCCAAACTTCCAATTGTGTTTGGACCTGGAGGTGCTGGCGCTGGAGTCAGTATGTTTGGAATGTCATCTTCTTCAGCCCCAAGAGACAGGTCATCATGTAATTCAGAGTAGTCCACTGAATAGGAGGCCATCTTGGGGCCTGTCACCCTGTGTGCTTGCTGCAGGAGCTCTTCGATGTTAATGACCATCCATGGCTTTTTAGGATTTTATTTTTGGGTCTTGCATCCCATATTGCTTCTACAGACCCAAATGCCCAACAATATCCACCCAAAACAAATCTCAAAGTCTAGTATTTTGTACCCTCCTGTATTGTAAGCCATTTTAATCAGTGTCTTCTTTAACTTGTTCATCTGGTTTCTGTTTAGATTAATTATTTATCATGTATTTGCTATT